GCCACGTGGGAGTCTTTCTAGTCATAATGTGTCAGAACTGGAAGGGCTCTTACAGATTATCTGGCCCAGTGGATTATAAGATTCTCATTTCCTTAGTGAAACTCTTATAAAACACAATCTTAAGTGTAAATCTAAAGGTGGAACTCTTGGGAGGCACCAGGGGATCCAGGGCCAGAGGCTCACCCACTTGATTTTCCTTTCACCTTGTTCTCTTCTATCTTCCAGCCCTCTAAGATAAGGTGCCTATTTTGCAGATGAGCAAAGTGAGTTCTAGAAAATTAGGTCACATAGTTAGTGAGCCTAGATTCTAGAGTTTGATGACAAGTTGCTTACAAAGCAACTTCATTTCACAAATGAATAAAGACGTGCCTTTATTCATTTGTGAAAATTCTGATATTTTTGGCATTAAATAAATGAGTAAAATGAGCCTTTACTTATGGATTAGTCATTTAATTAGTTTGCCAAACTTTTGTTAAGCAATGATCTTACCAGTTGCTTCAAAAATTCATGATCTGAATATAGATACAATAAAGATCAGCTTTAGGTGCTAATGAAAATCAGAGAGTGCCTATAAGTAAGATTAAATTCTATTGCAGGTAATAAATACTCCCAAGTAATTGTGGCTTAAACAAAACAGTACTGCATCTGTGATGGTTAATACTGAGTGTGATCTTGATTGGATTGAAGGATACAAAGCATGAATCCTGGGTGTGTCTGTGAGGGTGTTGCCAAAGGAGATTAATATTTGAGTTAGTGAGTCAGGGAAGGCGGACCCACCCTTAATCTGGTGGGCACAATCTAATCAGCTGCCAGCAAATATAAAGCAGGCAGAAAAACATGACAGCTGGGACTGGCCTAGCCTCCCAACCTCCATCTTTCTCCCATGCTGGATGCTTCCTGCCCTCAAATATTGAACTCCAGGATCTTCAGTTTTGGGACTCAGATTGGCTCTCCTTGCTCCTCAGCTTGCAGATAGCCTATTGTGGGACATTGTAATCATGTAAATTGATATTTAATAAACTCATATATATATATATCCTATTAGTTCTGTCCCTCTAGAGAACCCTGATGATTTTGGTACCAGGAGTGGTTCTAGAGGAACAGAATATTAAGGATGGAGTTCTTTTGTTGGATTTGGGATTTCTGAAGTTCATTGTTTAATATGATTGTCCCCCAAATGCTAAGGACTCTGAACTGTTTAGAGAGTTATGTAAAATAAATGTATTTGATACTCCTGATTCAACACTTATGAAAGGCAAGGAGTTTAATGACTCTATATATAATACCTTTGACCACATATGGAGAACCAAGGAACATAATGAAGCTGGTTGGTTGCTCCTAATTCAGAGGATAAAGTGATGAAAGAAAATAATGAACTCAGGGACTCTGTCTCCAGGCCTCAGAGACAGATACTGGGCCTCAAATCTGCTAAGATTGCCCTGAGTGAGAGTCTTTTCTTCTGTAGAGAAAGAGCTGAAATTATGGCAAAACAAATACAAGCTCTTATCACGCAAGTGGCTGAACTGCAATGAAAGATACATGCACAGCTTCACCCCTGTTTGCTTCTAGACCTATAGCAAGACTAAAGTCCTGGTGATCCCTAGAGGTGAGGTGGAGAGGGTGACCCATGAGGAGGTGTGTTACACTTGAAAAGAATTGTTTGAATTCTCTAATTTATATAAACAGAAATCTGGAGACCAGGCCTGGGAATGGATATTAAGGATATGGGATAAAGGTGGAAGGAGCATAGAGTTGGATCAGGCTGAATTTATTGATTTAGATCCACTAAGTAGGAACTCTGCTTTTAATGTTGCAGCTTGGGGAGTTAAAAAAGTTTCTAACAGTTTATTTGCTTGGTTAGCCCAAATGTGGATTAAAAGATGGGTGACTGTGAGTGAGCTGGAAATCCCTGAACTCCCTTGGTTTGATATAGAGGAAGGGATCCAAAGGCTTAGAGAGGTTGGGATGGTGGAGTGGATTAGTCACTTTAGACCTACTCATTCTAGCTGGGAGGGTCCGGAAGACATAGCCTTGACCAATACCTTCAGAAATAGATTTGTGAGGGCAGCACCTTCATCTTTGAAGAGTCCTGTAATTGTTCTTCTCTATAAGTCAGATCTAATGATAGGAACCACAGTCACTCAACTACTAAACTTAAATATAATGGGAATAATTGGATCCCAAGGTGGCAGGGGCTAAGTGGCTGCACTCAACCGTCAAAGGCAAAGTGGGTGTAGCTACCATAATGGACACCAGAGGCAAAGTGTCAAGTGGAATAGTCTGACTTGTGTAGAGTTCTGGCACTGGCTAATTAATCACAGTGTTCCTAGAAGTGAAACTGATAGGAAGCCTACTGCATTCCTACTTAATTTATACAAGCAGAAAACTTTAGATCGAATGGACAAAACACTAATTTGAATTATAAAAGCAGAATCACGGCCCCCTCAATCAATTTACTTGAGCCAATTTACAGACCCTGAACCCCTGAATGAAGGGGAGGCTGGGTCCCCTTGAGGAAGGACCCCACTGTATTACTGACAGTTTATGCAGTGAATCTTTCTCCCATCCTGCCGCAAGGGGACCACCAGCCTTTTACCAGGTTTACCGTGCACTGGTGAAAGGGAAATGATCAGACATTTTGGGGATTACTGGACACTGGCTCTGAGCTGATGCTGATTCCGGGGGACTAAAAATGTCGTTGTAGTTCTCCAGTTAAAGTAGGGGCTTACAGAGGTCAGGTAAATAATGGAGTTTTAGCTCAGCTCTGACTTACAGTGGGTCCCAGACTCATCCTATCGTCATTTGCATAGTGCCAGAATGCATATTGGTATAGACATACCAGCTGGCAGAATCCTCACATTGGCTCCCTGACTGGTAGGGTGAGGATTATTATGGTGGGAAAGGCCAAATGGAAGCCATTAGAGCTGCCTTTACCTAGAAAATAGTAAATAAAAAACAATATCACATCCCTGGAGGGATTGTGGAGATTAGTGCCACTGTCAAGGACTTGAAAGGCACAGGGGTGGTGAATCCTACCACATCCCTGTTCAACTCTCCCATTTGGCCAGTGCAGAAGACAGAAGGATCTTGAAGAATGACAGTGGATTATCATAAGCTTAACCAAATGGTGACTCCAACTGCAGCTTTTGTACCAGACGTGGTTTCATTGCTTGAGCAAATTAATGCAGCTCCTGTTATCTGGTATCCAGCCATTGACTTGGCAAATGCACTTTTCTCCATTCCTGTCCATAAGGCCCACCAGAAGCAATTTGCCTTCAGTTGGCTAGGCCAGCAATATACCTTTACTGTCCTACCCTAGGGGTATATCAGCTCTCCAGCTTTGTGTTATAATCTTATTTGGAGAGAACTTGACCACTTTTTGCTTCCACAAGATATCACACTGGTCCATTACATTGATGACGTTATGCTGATTGGATCCAGTGAGCAAGAAGTAGCAAACACACTGGAGTTATTGATGAGTCATTTGTGTGCCAGAGGATGGGAAATAAATCCGACTAAAATTCAAGACCTTCCTCAGTGAAATTCCTAGGTGTCCAGTGGTGTGGGGCCTGTTGAGATATTCCTTCTAAGGTAAAGGATAAGGTGCTGCATTTGGCCCCTCCTACAACCAAGAAAGAGGCACAACACCTAGTGGGCATATTTGGATTTTGGAGGCAGCACATTCCTCATTTGGGTGTTACTCTGGCCCATTTATCAAGTGACCTGAAAGCCTGCCAGTTTTGAGTGGGGTCCAGAACAGGAGAGGGCTCTGCAACAGGTCCAGGCTGCTGTGCAAGCTGCTCTGCCACTTGGGCCATATGACCCAGCAGATCCAGTGACGCTTGAGGTGTCAGTGGCAGATAGGGATGCTGTTTGGAGCCTTTGGCAGGCCACTGTAGGTGAAGAACAGTGGAGGCCTCTAGGATTTTGGAGCAAGGCCCTGCCATCTTCTGAAGATAACAACTCTTTTTTTGAGAGACAGTTGTTGGCTTGTTACTGGGCTTAGGTGGAAACTGAACTTTTGACTATAGGTCATGAAGTCACTGTGTGACCTAAACTGCCTATCATGAACTGGGTGCTTTCTGACCCATCTAGCTGTAAAGTGGGTCATGCACAGCAACATTCCATCATCAAACAGAAGTGGTATATATGTGATCAGGCTCGAGCAAGTCCTGAAGGCACAAGTAAGTTACCTGAGGAAGTGGCTCAAATACCCATGATCTCCACTCCTGCCCTTAAGCCTTCTCTTCCCCAGTCTGCATAGATGGCCTCATGAGAAGTTTCCTATGATCAGTTGATAGGAAAAGAGAATGCCAGGGAGGGCCTGGTTCACAGATGGTTCTGCACAATATGCAGGCACCACCTGAAAGTGGACAGCTGCAGTACTACAGCTATTGAGTGCCCAATTTGCCAGCAGCAGAAACCAACGCTTAGCCCTTGATATGGCACCTTTCCTTGGGGTGATCAGCCAGCTGCCTGGTAGCAGGTTGATTATGCTGGACCTCTTCCATCATGAAAAGGGCAGAGATTTGTCCTCACTGGATATGGGTTTTCCTATCTTGCATGCAATGCTTTTGCCAAGACTACTATTGGTGGACTCACAGAATGCCTTATCCACTGTCATGGTATTCCACACAGCATTATTTCTGACCAAGGCACTCACTTTATGGCTTAAAAAGTGTGGCAGTGGGCTCATGCTTACGAAATTCACTGGTCTTACCATGTTCCCCATCACTGAAGCACCTGGATTGATGGAACAGTGGAATGGCCTTGTCACATTTACAATGCCAACTAGGTGACAATACTTTGCAGGGCTGGGGCAAAGTTCTCCAGAAGGCTGTGTATGCTCTAAATCAGCATAAATCCAATATATGGTACTATTTTTCCATAGGTAGGATTCACAAGTCCAGAAATCAAGGGGTGGAAGTGGAAGTGGCACCACTTACCATCACCCCTAGTGATTCACTATCAAAATTTTTGCTTTCTGTTCCTGCAGCATTGTGTTCTGCTGGCCTAAAGGTAGTTCTAGAGGGAGGAATGCTGTCACCAGGAGACACAACAATTCCATTAAACTGGAGGTTCAGATTGCCACTTTGACACTTTGGGCTTCTCCTGCCTTTAAGTCAACAGGCTAAGAAGCTGCAGTGTTCATTAGGGTGCCTGACTCTGGACTATAAAGATGATGAAATCAGTCTACTACTCCATAATAAGGTAAGGAAGAGTATGCATGGACTACCAGAGATCCCTTGGGGTGTCTTTTAGTATTACCATGCCCTGTGATTAAGGTCATTGAAAAACTACAACAGCCCAGTTCCGGCAGGACTACAACTACAAATGGCCCAGGCCATTCAGGAATTAAGGTTTGGGTTACTCCACCAGGAAAAAAGCCACGACCTGAAGTACTTGCTGAAGGCAAATGGTATACAGAATGGGGAGAAGAAGGTAATCATCAATACCAGCTACAACCACATGATCAGCTGCAGAAACGAGGACTGTAACTGTCATGACTACTTCCTTCTTCTTTTGTTAAAAACATATTTGTGCATGTATACACTTTTTTTTTTATTTAAAAATTAACATAATTAACTCATGGTTTAAGTGAGGATGTCTTCAATCCATCAAAATTCTTGAAGAGAGAGATGGTATCAGTCATTTTATCTTCACTCACCAAAGGGTGAGTGAAGTGCCTGACCAGAACCATAAAATTATTAAAAAAAAAAAAAGGCATAGGGAGCAAAAGGAAAAATGCCAGCACAAAATGGTAATAATTAGGAAAGCCAAGAATGAGGTGGTGCAGTAACAGCATAAACATTATAAAGACATTCTTTGTTCATTCCCTCCCTTGTTGAGCTCAGCTCAGCATGGACTGAAGTTGTCCATTTTGGCTTTTCTATCTGAGTTGCTCTAACATCTAAAGTGAATTATATTATCGTGAGTAATGTTTTTGTCTATTTTTTGTCCACATTTACTCAGTAAGCACTCCTTGATGACAAATACCTGTCAACTATTGTGCTCACCAATGAGGATGAAATGATTGATACCATCTCTCTCCTCAAGAATTTCAGAGTTTAATGGATTAAAGAAATCCTTACCTAAACCATGAGTTAATTATAAATTGTTTTGCACAGCCAATCTCTATCGATTAAAAATTCTGTAAGCATTATATGGATCTTAATTATTATTATTATTTTTTAATTCTTTATTGGATTATAGGTTTTGGGGTACATGAGCAGAGCATGCAAGACAGTTGCGTAGGTACACACATGGCAGTGTGCTTTGCTTTTCTTCTCCCCTTCACCCACATTTGGCATTTCTCCCCAGGCTATCCCTCCCCACCTCCCCCTCCCACTGGCCCTCCCCTTTTCCCCCCAATAGACCCCAGTGTTTAGTACTCCCCTTTCTGTGTCCATGTGTTCTCATTTTTCATCACCCACCTATGAGTGAGAATATGCGGTGTTTCATTTTCTGTTCTTGTGTCAGTTTGCTGAGGATGATGTTCTCCAGATTCATCCATGTCCCTACAAACGACATGAACTCATCATTTCTGATTGCTGCATAATATTCCATGATGTATATGTGCCACATTTTTCCAATCCAGTCTATTATCAATGGGCATTTGGGTTGATTCCAGGTCTTTGCTATTGTAAACAGTGCTGCAATGAACATTCGTGTACATGTGTCCTTATAGTAGAACGATTTATAGTCTTTTGGATATATACCCAGTAATGGGATTGCTGGGTCAAATGGAATTTCTATTTCTAAGGCCTTGAGGAATCGCCACACTGTCTTCCACAATGGTTGAACTAATTTACACTCCCACCAACAGTGTAAAAGTGTTCCTTTTTCTCCACATCCTCTCCAGCATCTGTTGTCTCCAGATTTTTTAATGATCGCCATTCTAACTGGCGTGAGATGGTATCTCAATGTGGTTTTGATTTGCATCTCTCTGATGACCAGTGACGATGAGCATTTTTTCATATGACTGTTGGCCTCATATATGTCTTCTTTCGTAAAGTATCTGTTCATATCCTTTGCCCACTTTTGAATGGGCTTGTTTGTTTTTTTCCTGTAAATCTGTTTGAGTTCTTTGTAAATTCTGGATATCAGCCCTTTGTCAGATGGGTAGACTGCGAAAATTTTTTCTCATTCTGTTGGTTGCCGATCCACTCTAGTGACTGTTTCTTTTGCCGTGCAGAAGCTGTGGAGTTTCATTAGGTCCCATTTGTCTATTTTGGCTTTTGTTGCCAATGCTTTTGGTGTTTTGTTCATGAAGTCCTTGCCTACTCCTATGTCCTGGATAGTTTTGCCTAGATTTCCTTCTAGGGTTTTTATGGTGCCAGGTCTTATGTTTAAGTCTTTGATCCATCTAGAGTTAATTTTAGTGTAAGGTGTCAGGAAGGGGTCCAGTTTCTGCTTTCTGCACATGGTTAGCCAGTTTTCCCAACACCATTTGTTAAACATGGAATCCTTGCCCCATTGCTTGTTTTTGTCAGGTTTATCAAAGATTGTATAGTTGTATGTATGTTGTGTTGCCTCCGGTGCCTCAGTTTTGTTCCATTGGTCTATATCTCTGTTTTGGTACCAGTACCATGCTGTTTTGATTACTGTAGCCTTGTAGTATAGTTTGAAATCCGGTAGTGTGATGCCCCCTGCTGTGTTCTTTTTGCTTAGAATTGACTTGGCTATGCATGCTCTCTTTTGGTTCCATATGAAGTTCATGGTGGTTTTTTCCAGTTCTGTGAAGAAAGTCAATGGTAGCTTGATGGGGATAGCGTTGATTCTGTAAATTACTTTGGGCAGTATAGCCATTTTCACGATATTAATTCTTCCTAACCATGAACATGGAATGTTTCTCCATCTGTTTGTGTCCTCTCTGATTTCGTTGAGCAGTGGTTTGTAGTTCTCCTTGAAGAGGTCCCTTACGTTCCTTGTGAGTTGTATTCCAAGGTATTTTATTCTTTTTGTAGCAATTGCGAATGGCAGTTCGCTCTTGATTTGGCTTTCTTTAAGTCTGTTATTGGTGTAGAGGAATGCTTGTGATTTTTGCACATTGATTTTATATCCTGAGACTTTGCTGAAGTTGTTTATCAGTTTCAGGAGTTTTTGGGCTGAGGCAATGGGGTCTTCTAGGTATACTATCATGTCGTCTGCAAATAGAGACAATTTGGCTTCCACCTTTCCTATTTGAATACCCTTTATTTCTTTTTCTTGCCTGATTGCTCTGGCTAGAACTTCCAGTACTATATTGAATAGGAGTGGTGAGACAGGGCATCCTTGTCTAGTGTCAGATTTCAACGGGAATGCTTCCAGTTTTTGCCCATTCAGTATGATATTGGCTGTTGGTTTGTCATAAATAGCTTTTATTACTTTGAGATACGTTCCATCGATACCGAGTTTATTGAGGGTTTTTAGCATAAAGGGCTGTTGAATTTTGTCAAATGCCTTCTCTGCGTCAATTGAGATAATCATGTGGTTTTTGTTTTTGGTTCTGTTTATGTGGTGAATTACGTTGATAGACTTGCGTATGTTGAACCAGCCTTGCATCCCCGGGATGAATCCTACTTGATCATGATGAATAAGTTTTTTGATTTGCTGTTGCAATCGGCTTGCCAATATTTTATTGAAGATTTTTGCATCTATGTTCATCATGGATATTGGCCTGAAGTTTTCTTTTCTCGTTGGGTCTCTGCCGGGTTTTGGTATCAGGATGATGTTGGTCTCATAAAATGATTTGGGAAGGATTCCCTCTTTTTGGATTGTTTGAAATAGTTTTAGAAGGAATGGTACCAGCTCCTCCTTGTGTGTCTGGTAGAATTCGGCTGTGAACCCGTCTGGACCTGGGCTTTTTTTGTGTGGTAGGCTCTTAATTGCTGCCTCAACTTCAGACCTTGTTATTGGTCTATTCATAGTTTCAGCTTCCTCCTGGTTTAGGCTTGGGAGGACACAGGAGTCCAGGAATTTATCCATTTCTTCCAGGTTTACTAGTTTATGCGCATATAGTTGTTTGTAATATTCTCTGATGATGGTTTGAATTTCTGTGGAATCTGTGGTGATTTCCCCTTTATCATTTTTTATTGCATCTATTTGGTTGTTCTCTCTTTTATTTTTAATCAATCTGGCTAGTGGTCTGTCTATTTTGTTGATCTTTTCAAAAAACCAGCTCTTGGATTTATTGATTTTTTGAAGGGTTTTTCGTGTCTCAATCTCCTTCAGCTCAGCTCTGATCTTAGTAATTTCTTGTCTTCTGCTGGGTTTTGAGTTTTTTTGATCTTGCTCCTCTAGCTCTTTCAATTTTGATGATAGGGTGTCAATTTTGGATCTCTCCATTCTCCTCATATGGGCACTTATTGCTATATACTTTCCTCTAGAGACTGCTTTAAATGTGTCCCAGAGGTTCTGGCACGTTGTGTCTTCGTTCTCATTGGTTTCGAAGAACTTCTTTATTTCTGCTTTCATTTCGTTGTTTACCCAGTCAACATTCAAGAGCCAGTTGTTCAGTTTCCATGAAGCTGTGTGTTTCTGGGTTGGTTTCTGAATTCTGAGTTCTAACTTGATTGCACTATGGTCTGAGAGGCTGTTTGTTATGATTTCTGTTGTTTTGCATTTGTTGAGCAGTGATTTACTTCCAATTATGTGATCAATTTTAGAGTAGGTGTGATGTGGTGCTGAGAAGAATGTGTATTCTGTGGATTTGGGGTGGAGAGTTCTGTAAATGTCCACCAGGTTTGCTTGCTCCAGGTCTGAGTTCAAGCCCTGGGTATCCTTGTTGATTTTCTGTCTGGTTGATCTGTCTAGTATTGACAGTGGAGTGTTAAAGTCTCCCACTATTATTGTGTGGGAGTCTAAGTCCTTTTGTAAGTCATTAAGAACTTGCCTTATGTATCTGGGTGCTCCTGTGTTGGGTCCATATATGTTTAGGATCGTTAGCTCTTCTTGTTGTATCGATCCTTTTACCATTATGTAATGGCCTTCTTTGTCTCTTTTGATCTTTGTTACTTTAAAGTCTATTTTATCAGAGATGAGAATTGCAACTCCTGCTTTTTTTTTGCTTTCCATTAGCTTGGTAAATCTTCCTCCATCCCTTTATTTTGAGCCTTTGTGTATCCTTGCATGTGAGATGGGTTTCCTGTATACAGCACACTGATGGGTTTTGGATTTTTATCCAATTTGCCAGTCTGTGTGTTTTGATTGGTGCATTTAGTCCATTTACA